ATATGCCGTGTGATGGTAAGCGGCACTTCCAAACGTGATGTTAACATTTACTTTTCCGTCGATGTCGATCTTCTCACCGGACACAGTCTGGAGGGTAACGCAGGGCGGCGTCCAGATAAGTTTGTTTCCTAGTTGTTGAGCCAAATCTTTTCGGATGATGGTGACGTTGGCTCCTGTATCTATAGTCATATTGCACGGAACTCCATTAATATGTCCTATTATGAAAAGTCCATTACTGCCGCCTCTCACTGCAGAAATCTGAAGCGCTTTAAACGGGGGCTTTTCATTATCTGGCAACCTCCGCCCCGCGAGATGGCCACTAATTAGTTTCCCTGCTGCTTGTTAGAAGCGGTCTTAACATCAGTACCCTGGGGTGTTTTGCAGTTTCGTCGTATGTGTCCTTCAGCACCGCAGTTCCAGCACTTAACGGTCGGTTTCTTCTCACCAATATTCCGTCTCAAGGCGTTCAGTTGTCTAGTTAAATCGTCAAGTCGAGCGGTGACTTGATCCCCTGGCTCCTGGACTTGAGCAGCTCTGACTGGGTGGCGGTCTCGACGAGTGGCTTGCTGGGCTGCCTCAAATTTCATGGCGTACACTAGAGCACTTTTTAAATCTTTTACATCCGCCATTCGTAGAGCTTTCTGTATTTCAGTATCTCGGATGCCGTCGATAAAGTATTGCAAGGACAGGATTTCCCTTGTTTCTGTCGGGCATTCCGAAAAGGCGAGATGGGACAGCCTTTCAACATCCGCGGCGAGCTCCTGAAGTGTTTCGGTAGGCTTCTGTTGACGAGATTTTAATTGGAGCCTGCTGTAGTCTTTTTTAAACACTTCTCCCCAAAGCGCAACTCCAAGGCGCCGGACAGAGCTTCGAAATCTAACCTTTTGTTTTCGGGAAGAGTCTGAAGGATATCCGCTGCGTCGGCTCTTAGAGAAGCGGCGAGATGACAGGCCTTAGCTTGGGAATCCCATCCATTCGCATCCGCCACGATAGAAAATTGTGTCTTATACACCTGCCAGGAGGTCTTCCCATCATATGTGGATAGCTTCAGAGGTGGACGAGCAGGCATTGGTAAGAATTTAAAAATCATCACTCCTGCTCCCTGCCGACGCTACGAATTTCTTTAAAGTATCCATTTCTTTGGCAACTGCAGAAACTCTCTCATCAATTTGTTCTTTTACAGAAGAAAAACTCTTTTCTTCTATTTCTTCTTTCACCGAAGAAACTCTTTCTTCAATATGTCCAACTTTATTTTCAACTGCGTCAATTCTGCCTTCCATAGCTTCAAATTTATTTTCTATTATGCAAGTAATTTCTCTTTTCATTTCTTCTTGACCAGCTTGAACGGCTTTCATTTCGTCCTTAACGGATTCCTGGCCCAATTTCATTTCTTCCTTAACGGATTCTGGCCCAATTTCATTCTTCCTTAAATGATGCTTGGCCAGCTTCCATCTTTTCTTGGAATGCAGCAAAAGCACTAATGAGCTGTCTCAATTGTTCTTCCATCGCTCTTGTTATTGGCATTCAAATCCCACTTCTGACACCAAAAATTGTTGCGTGCGTACGGGTTCGTTATGAAATGAATGCACAAGTCCGATGAAAAATGAACAAAAATTTATTATTATCACAACAAAAATGCTTAAATTTTCTCAAATTATCATGCAGTATTACAATATCTCACAGTAGTTTTCTTTTAACTACTCAAATGTCCAATAGAACGTAATTCAAAACAGCTAAAGAACGCTAATCCGCGAATTCGCTACAATCAACAACAGTAGTTTTCTAAACAACAACAAACTAAGCAAACTACTACAAACTGAGATGTTTTCCTCCTTTTATAAGATTTTAAAATCACGCGCTAGAATTTTCCAGTACTTTCTCGAAATAAAAAGAGATATTTATTTATTTAATGCACGCGCTCTTGTATTTTCAATTTTCCGGCTTAGCTTTCTTTTAATATTCGTCACGCGCTGCACTGCGCGAGAAATAAAACCATTTAATTTCTAATTGAACTAACATTAGCTTTTTAAATACCAAATTCGTAACAATATATTTTTCAAAATATAACTTATCAGTATGGATTCACTCTTTTAAAATAATTCTACTTTAATTAAACTTAGGAGATAATAAAATCAGTTAATCAATATTGTTTAGGAAATAAATTATATATATAGTAAAAAATGTATATTTTCACTATTCAAGTATTCACTGTGACAAGTATTCTTATCTTGTCACATGAACAGGCTTCTGTGGAAAGGGGCTTCTCTGTAAATAAAGCAATTGAAATTGAAAATTTAAGTGACTCATCATACATTTTTCAAACGCACAGTATTTGATTACATAAAATTTTCTGGAGGTGTTCTTAATATCGAAATTAATAAAGAAATGAGATCAGCAGCAGCTTCTGCAAGAAGTGGAGAGTTTCAGTATTTAGAAGAACAAAAATCTTTAACTAAATCTGAAAATTCAAAGAGGAAAAGAATATTATTTAGGAAGAAATTGATTATATGAAGCAGAAGAAAAAATTTCTTCGAAGGGATATTAATGAAGAAGTAGATGCTTTAGCAGATGAAGCTGAGACCAGCAGGAACATTGATTTGTTTATCAAAGCAAATGAACTTAGAAGAATAGTTAAAGAAAAGGAAATAGACATAAATAAATTAGATGTTAAAATAGCTGAAAAGATTTCAGATTTTAAAAAAGCACAAATGTTTTGTATCTTTTATTGTACAGTTTATTATTCTAGTATCTTTCAAAAAACCAAGGAAATAAATTGTATGTTTACAAATCAGTTATTTTAATCTGCAAAATATTCTTACATTGTGATTATAATAGTAGTTGACTTGTGTTTAAATAAATATCAAAATAAGTTAAATAATAATCATGTAAATCTCTAAAAATAGTGACTGTTATTAGTGTAAATACATGTTTTTCAAGAAATTATGTTCCTAATTTAATGTTATCTACTTCATAACTTGTAGGGAGTTAGTTTAATTTTCAAAATTGTTTTATGTTTTTGTAAGTATTAAATTGAATTTAATAATAGTGCATAATACACACTTCTGTTAGTTTCTTAAAGTGAAATTACAAGCATGAAGTCGGTTGTATGGATAATAGCTTTATTCTATTCATTTTTTTTGTTTTCTGATAGGTCCTTAATTTTTTCTTAGATGGTCCTTAAAAGTCCTTAATTTTCATGTAAGGAAATGTGTACGAACCCTGTTCATAGCTTGAAAACCATGTAGTATGGTTGCATTAATTAATTCATGAGTGACTAAAAGATTGTATTAATTAATTCATGAGTGTAAATGCTTTGCAAAAGATGCAAATATTACCTGTCATGAATGAGTTCTGTGCAAAGAATCAAATATGTGCAAAATGTTAAAAACACATATGCAGCATGTTAAAATTTGAAGAACTTGTTAATTGGCAAATGAGTTTTAACAAATATTGACCTATATCAAACTTTAAATGTTTTATTATTATTATTATTATCATTATTATGCAAATATAATAAGAAATAATGATACCACGTCCTTTGTCATAATAGTTTTGTTATATTTGTAATTGACTTAGTAATGTAAATATATTTGTGTTTTCGTGTCGCGATCAATTCATTGTGTAGGAGAATCTTATATATTGAAATTTTAAAATTTGAAGTGTGTAGAAAGTGCAGTTTTTAAATCAGTGGATAAAGTCGTATGTGAATCTCCTAAATAAATAAATAAAAATAAAGAAAAATAGTGTTTTTTTGTCAACTGTGATTCTTCTTTTTTTTTGGGGGGGGGAGTATCTAATTGAATGTTCTAAACTTGAAATTACTTTTTTTTTTTTTTTTTTTTGCAAAGCTTCAAGATAGTATTGCTTTTAAATGTTCTTATAAAAGTGCTAATTAATTTTATAAAACTTGTTTAATTCGAAAGCCTGCTATTCATATAAATATTGAAAACTCTAATTTGTATGCAAATAAAAGGTTATAATAACTGAGATATTAATATACGTTTATTTTTCACAAAAATATTGAATTATTAAAATTTTCTTTTGCTTAATGCAACATAAATTGGAGAATTCCAAAATTGTTAAATTGTAAGAAAGATACACATTTAAACTTTGATTAAGCTGAAACTGAAGAAAGGGAGGAAAAATTCAGTCAATCAGAAGTTTGATTTACTAGAAAAGAAGTTAAAACTCATTTTAAATTCTACATTTTAGCATTTAGTTTGACTTGAAAAAGTTCATATAATCAAAATTCTAATATATTTAAATGAAGGACAGGTCTCTGTGAGGAAATGTGAACAGTTTTACGTGAAAAAGAATTTTAAAGAGGTGACATATAACTTTTAATCAGTATGATTTTTATATTTTTTATTTATAAAATATATAAAACTTTTTAAAACTTAAATGATAAAACCTTCAAGGTGTAAGATTGTAATCTGAAGCTTTCCTGTTTTAATATATATATTCTGAAGCTTTCCTGTTTTAATATATATATTATTTGATTTTTATTAATTAATTTATTCATTTATGTAGGCAAACATTATAGTTAAATAAGTCAGCTGTAAAATAGATCTTCATTTGGAAATGATAGATAATGAAAGTAAATAAATTACTGATCAATATTTTATGTTTTTAATTGTCTTGCACAAATTAATTTACTTCACAACTTTGAATTATCACAAATAAATTCAAAAATGAAATTTATTTCAATATCTTTTAAGTTGTTTCTGTAATGTTGTCTATATTAAGTACATATTTACACAACTTATGCTCATAATTATGTGTCATCGAGTATGAATCTTCAGTTACTTTAGCTTTTTCAAAGCAAAATTGTATGTATGGTTTTGAACTGAAATCTTTCATGATAAAGGTTAGAAAAGAAGTTGGCTTTAAGTTTTCGATTCTTGCAATTTCAGTGTTAACTTCAAATTTAAGTATTTATTTAAAAATATAAAATTCATTGATATTTTTTCAGTTCATTACTTTTTCTTCTTTACTTGCAGACATATGGTTATCCAGTTTCTCAGCTATTTGATTTATTATCAGAAATCCGGGACCAGTACAATGAAATACTTATGAGGAAGTGGAATAAAATATTCAGAAAAATTTTTGACTCTGATAATTACCATCCTATTGAAGTCGAAAACCAAGAACAATATGATGCAATCATCAGTAGGTTTCCATATCATGATGAAGACTTAATGCTGGTATGACAATTATCACAAACATGAGAATTGTGGAATAATAAATATTTTTATATATTGTGCTTGGTTAATTGTTTGTTTAGTAAATTCATGAAATTCAGAAGAGTATTCCTACTTTGTATCAAAGGAATATTTCATTCCAACAGACTGGAATTTTACTTGTGAATGAAATTGTCCACTGTATGGTGAGTTGAAAATTAAATCGGTGCTGGATAAAAATTATAATTAACTGCAGTAAATTAACAATTTTGGTTTATTTATTGAATTTTATAGCTTGTGAAACCTTCATGCTTATTATATTCTATGCTACTTTACATGATTACAAAGGGTCATTGCTGGATGCAGTTATCTTTTAGGAGATGCTTTTGTACTTTTAGTCTGCATATAGTCTCATTGCAACTGAAGTTATCTCTACAAGGATATGTATACTTCATAAAGGAAAGAAAAATGCAGGGAGTAATCATCTGGATTGGCTGTAAGTTAACTAGCTTTCAGGGACCATAAGTGTGATAGTTACCTGTCATCCAGTATAGTTGCTAAATTGGTATGAAAACCATTTTAGCTACTATACTGGATGTGGCCTTTTACTCAAACTAGAAACATCATGGCTATTATAATTACCATATTCCCCCAGTTTACTATTCAAATCTCATAACACGGTATCTTAAGATGCAGACGCATCATTAAAATAGAACTCATTAAGTGATCCTTTGATATGAGGAAACAGAAAATAGTCACATGATGCCAAGTCTAGCAAAATAAGTAAGGTGTGATGTCGTGTGACGAACAATGACAATCCTCAAGCTAGTTTACTGAGAAAAACAATTGCTAACTTCTGAATATTTTAACCTCAGTTGACTTATTCTGTGAGAGAGATATTTCAGAACACCCATGTAAAATGAATTGTGACACCATGTCTGCTGGTCATGAATTTTTTATGCATGATGTCTTTGTATCTATAGAAGACAGTGAACTTTATTGCGATTTAAAATTGCAGCCAACATTTATTTTTGCTTTCAGAGATTCAGCTAATGCCCATTCAGCTCTGTACCCTCTTGTTTCATAGTCATATCTGGACTTTTATGTCTTGTTACTTCTGCCGTATTATTCGGGGAATCTGAACTTCATTTATTGGCATCAACAAACCATAAGTTAAAATAATATCCATTTTATTTGAGTCACTTCATACTCTAAAATAGCAGCTTAGAAGTATGAGCTTAAGAATAGTTATTTATGAAGAAACTATATTTCAGTTATAGTTCGTAATTAATACATAATGCCACCTTTCACCTCATTTAAAGTCTTTTTTTAAAATTGTCTTACCTGCACTTATGCAAACTGCTAACAAAAAAGATCTTGCATTCATATTTCAGAATTTGTTTTCTGTTTCTAACAGTTCATTTTTTGCATTCTTTAGCCTTGAATTAATTGTATATTTGTTCATTTTATGTATTTATTTCAAAACATTTTGTACAGAATACTTATAATTTTAGGCACCTTTCCCAAAGAAATTTCCTTTTTCACAATTTGTTCCTGAAGTTTACGATCAAGTAAAAGAATTCATTAATGCTTGTTTGAAATTTTCACAGGGCTTGAATCAAAGGTGAATATTTTTAACTGCCTATAAAAGCATTATAAAACTATTTAATATGTTATAAAAATTTAGGTACTTTTCTGTTTCGCTGGTGCAAACCTTGTTATTTCCGTTTCTCCATCGCAAATTTCGCCAAGCAGACTTTATTGGCAACAACACACAGTATACACATAAAAAATGTTAACAAATGTTAGTTCTAAGAATTTTTTATTTTGGAGGCAGAATATTTTAATATCTTTTAAAATTTTTTCAAATGGGTCTTTTGTTTCCTTTTGCCATATAAATTCGGCGAGGTAACTTTCCAGATGATGATGTGCCGTTCCTCTGTGTTTCTTGTTTCGCCATTTGGTGCTACCCCATAGTCTTTCTATTTTTTGCGTGTACGTTCCAGTTTCCGGATCTACAAAATTGTATTTATGGTTCACATTGAAATGTGCGACTTTCATCTTCCAGTTTTTCGGTGCAATATGATTTCCGCAAATCGGAATATATAGTAGTTTCTTTTTCGATATTTTCCTTAATTGCCTCTAATATGATAGTCATGGATAAGTTTGGCACCTTCACAAGGAAATATTCGTTTTTTTCACGACAAACTCCACCAAAGATCCACTGTTGTGGTAAAATCTGTTCCGCGTTGTTTTTGCGCTATGTGAACATATTTTCATCCACTTCAACGATCATACCAGGTCCTCCTATTTTGCGTTGTTGACATTTAAGTAAAGAATCCACACAAATCTATCGCATGTAGTTATTCCAATCTACAACTGTTCTGTGACTGATTTCCAACTGCTTTTACACCATTTAACTGAAGTTAATTCTTCACTCCAACCATAAATAAACATTACACACTTCAAGAAACTCAATCTCGGTGATTCAAACCATGTGCCTTTCCGTATACTTCTTTTACTGTGTCAAGTTGAAAGGTTGCAGCACCATTGAATTTCATCTCCAAAATATAATTTCATTTCATAATTATTATCACAAATAGTAATGTTAGGCAAAACGCCTTTTGCTTGAAAGAATGACAGATTCTTCCTCTGTCCTGTGCAAAATTTCATCCATTTTTGACATATTTGTAAAAAGATGACCATGGTTCATATCAAGTAATCCCAAATGATCTCATCTCACGTAAACTATGCTGCAAAAATCTGATTCTCTCAGTAATTATCTACATTAATTTCAAGTTAAATTTTAGTGTGGAATTCGAGTTTAAATGCAAGAATTATTTCAATATTATAATTTAAAAAATTATATGTAACTGTATGCCAGTATTGAAAGAAACGGTCAATCTGATAAGAGATAGCAGTGACTTGTTTTGAAAAAGTGACATGAAAAATTATCAGCGAGGATATTCAGTTTGGCATCGGTTGTACCATTTTTGGCGACTTTATCGCTTGCGCTGGCCAAACGGAAAAGTACCAAAATTAAAGCATTTTTTTTAATTGAAAGTTCTGTCTGAGTAATAAAATTCAAACTAGCATAGACTTCATGCATTCCCTAAAAATCATTGTATTTAGTTCATTTATTTAAATCAAATAATATGTTTTAATTTTTTTTAAATTTATTTTTGAACTTTGTACTCTCTATTAAACTTGGATATAAATCGCATTCACAAAAAAAAAAAAAAAAAAAAAAAAAAAAGTGCAGTTTTCTGTGCATTTTAGTAAGAATGACTTTAATACAAGTTTCAAGGTATTCTTTGTAGTTAATAAAAATTTAAATGTGTACGTTTGGTTAAAAATAATATGCTATAAAAAAAGAGTAATTTGTTATTATCACTTCTATTTTATGCATGTTTGGTTTAAATTATTAACAAACATAACTTTTGAACAAAGCAAAACATTCCTGTTTGTATTGATTAATTCAAAATGCATGGCAAGTTTAAAAAAACCTGTATACGTATTTTGATTTGCAATTAGAATAACTTTTCTTTGCCAACTGCAATCCAAGAAACTAATTTTGTCATTATTATTATAATATAAGGAGGATAAAAGAAAAACCTTTAAAAAATATTATTGATGTTCAGTATGTGTTTTTTATTAGTTGTTGTTAATCCTCTTAGCATCTATAAAGCCCATTTTATTCCCATGCACAGCAAACTGTAACTGTTTGATTGTTGTTGGTGGTGGTGGTCTTTTCTTGAAATTTGGAATAGTTGAAAGAAAAGAAGAGGCTAAAAATGGGATCTCCTGTATAATTCTCTGAGAAACTTATGCAGTATCATTTCTAGACTATAAGAACCACATCCAGAATTTCTGATCAATATCAGTCCTATTTCTGATCCAATGGAGTGATAAATACAGGTTTATGGCAACTCAGCTCGTGTACAGTACTGAAGAAAGGTGGGACAAACTTTAAGAATTTTGCTAGCCACCAGTGTGGTGTACTTGTCATATACTAAATGCATTAATACATTATCCTCAGAAAAGTCATGAAACCTTGCCCTCCCCCCCCCTTTTTTTTTCATTTTGGAATATTGTTCTATTAAGAAAAAATTGTTTCAGCTTTTCAGTAATTGTGAACTTTAATGGAAGAAAGTAATACTATATGAATATTTTATAATTTAATTAAAAAAATTACACTGTTATTTATTTAAATTTATAATTTTAGCAACTGATAAGAGAATGAATAACTGAATTATAACTTAAATAAGAATGGGGTTAAAAGCAAAAAGGAATTGAGGTAAATTATTCCTATTAACATTCAGAGAATGGAAAGCAAATTAATTCATTTAAATGACTGATATTGTGAAATTAATGAGAACGTGCATCATTCACCATTTTCTAGCATAATGTGTTATTTTTAAATTTTAATTTTTAAATTATTTTTAAATTTTTTCAAGTGTGCTTAGCATCTAACTAAAAAAAAAAAAAGGGGGGGGAGACTGGGATAAGAGCCTGGTTATTAGCAAAGCATTTGTGTTTTATAGTTGTTGTATTTTGAATAATAAATTAATTTCTTGCCAATAATTGAGGGTATTTAGTATTACTAGTGAAATGTTACTAATTCCAATAATTTCCTGTTAATTTTTTTTTTTTTTTTTTTTTTAATATTTAGAATTTATTGTTGAATTTGCATATTTTTCTGTTGGATTTTATAAGTATGTTAATATTAAAGTAATAATTCAAGCACTGTCTATTCATAATAATATACCAGTTTATTCAAATTATAAGACTGTGTTGCAATTTTTTGAAATTTAAAACAATGTTGTTTGTTCAAGGAATATATTTTAATTGATAGCTGTGTTAAATAAGTTTTAATCATATCATGATTATTTCATAAAAATTATGCATTATAATTATTAGTATTTTAGCATTTTCCAATTTCTTGTACAAGAAATTTAAGCTTTATAAAAAATTAATTTTTCAGATTTTATTAGCTATGACATGCTGAAGATTTAAAATTTAGGTAAAAAGCAACCATATATTGGCATAGGTTAGGAATAAAATTCTTATTGATTTGAGAGTGATCAGACACATGCCTATCGTCTTCAAAAATCCTGAAAGTGTGCCCTTGAAATCTATAGAGTTTTTGTTCAAAACCTATGCCAAAATAAGACTGCTTTTTTGCGTAATTTTAAATTCTGCATTGGGATGTTTCTCATCTCAATGTAGAATTTAAAATCACGTAACTTAAAATTACTTTTATTAATCAAAAATTACTTGTACTGTAACTTGTTGAATGTATGCTGAATAATATAAAAGTATTTCTTACATGCAATGATGTTTTTTCATTTTTCTACATTTGTTGTAATTTGTTTTTACTGCTTGCTTTAAATTTTGAATTTTCAACTTTCCATTTATTAATTCATTAACTTTCAGCCAAACTGAAATTCAGGACATGGTTAGGAAATCCACAAATTTGCTACTTACTATTACTTTAAGTGGATGTCTTTCTAACCTTATAAAGAATTCAAGCCTAGGACTTTTACAGGTTAGTTTAATGCTTTATTTTAATAATATGTAGGTTTTAAATAGTATACCGAGCATTTTGTTCAGATAACAGCTTTGTCCCCAAATACTCAGGGTTCGTACGGTCCTTAAGAGTCCTTAAAAGTCCTTAAGTTTTTTGGAATCGATTTTTGGTCCTTAAAAGTCCTTAATTCCGGCCAAAACCGACAGAAGGTCCTTAATTTTTAATCATCTGAAATTTCTGTCTGTTTTTACGACAGCCATTTTGAGTGTGAATTAGCATTTTGGAGGAATATTTTTGGCAATTCTCTGACAAATATTGTTATCTTTTAAATAGGTGAATGCGTTCATGGGTTATAATTTGTTCCTATTTCTAATATAAAGGGTGGGATAGAGTTTCTGAGCAAGTATGAAACATAAAGCATTCGAAATTATTTCATTTTTTCTTGTTAAGAGCTCTTAAACAACTTTTCGCTTTTGGGGATGTGAATTCTTTTATTAAATTGCTCTAAATTTGGCGACTTATTAACGATTTTAAGATCAGTTTCTATAGAAAGTTTTTAATTCCGAGATCTGAGAATTTTTCAACTATTTTTTAAAACATTGTAACATTTATAAGTTTCATTAAAATAATGGTAATATATTGTAATTACATTTAAGAAATAACATTAAAATAAAGCATTTTTATTTTTTGCTGTTGTATTGTAAAGTTCCATTTTGGCGACTTTTTATACAATATTTTGAATCTGAAAAATAAACAAGGTATAATGCTATAAAGCACAATTTACGAAACGGTTCTTAGCAAAAGCAAAATAACTATGTAATTAATTAAAAATTTCTTTTTAATTTTTTCCTGGTAAGAGTTTCCTCATATAATTGTCTCAGAATATGCATCAGTTTTCTCTATAAAATTAATTTTACACATTTTTTATCTGATTTGGCAGGGGTAATTTTTCTTTTAGGATTTTAGACATTGCAGCTTGGAAAGTTTAGAAATATTTGAAGGCAAGATTTATAGACCCACTATTCTGGAAGATTCCAGAAAAATGTCTCCATGGTATTAATACATAATTTCTTACTTTTTGGAGAACATCTGGAAGAGCAATAAAAACATAATAGTTGAATGTTTTAGTTCTGATACTAGAAGTTCTTAACATTTTTATCTTCCCTTTATTTTTCACTAGACACAAGCATAAAATATCATAAAATATCAAAAATGCATCTAATCTTATCATATGGACAGGCATTATAGAAAATATTTTTTTTAATAAAGAAATTAAAAACTGACAATTTAAACGATTCATCTAATATGTCTTAATGCATCATACACACTAAATTGTGCTGCTTGGTGCCTTTGTAAATTTTGCTTCCAGTGCCTGTTTTTTTTGCTCGATGTGTGAATAAATTCAAAAAATTCTGCCACACTAGCTCTGTAACAGGACCTTACCATATATATCGCATATTTCTTCTGAATGTTCCTATTACTATAAAATTAGCAGCTTTCTCTATACATTCTAAATGCATTTAGTATTTTTAGAATAACAAAAATCTTTAATTAAATCCCAAAACTCTAAAATGAAAAGGAAACGTGGAAGAAAAAAACTAAATACATTAACAGAAAGGAAAATTATTCTTCAAAAATATATACAGATATTATTATGTAAATTACCCAGTTGTTTACAATTTCAACCTTTACTATAATTTCCCATTTCTATTTTCTCACGAGAATACAAATCACTTAAACAGTTTTTAAACTGAGGTTTTTGGAGTTTAAGACAAGAATGTGTTTCTGACCTCCACTTGCCCCCTGCATTAGTTTCTGCCAGCCCTGATAATTTGCAATTATTCGTCTTTACGTTACTGCTGCCGACATATGAATTTGTTATGACAATAGAGTTACTGAGTCAGCTTAAAATGAAATTAAATTGTATAGTCTTTGATGACTAGTCCATATTTTTAGTTTTCATTTGATTCTTCTTGTTTAATTACATCACCATGAGCTGTAATTGATTTTTTTAGCATAAAAACATACTTTATGTTCTTCTTTTTAAATAAGAAGTTTATTTAAATCTTTGTAGTTACTTTCAGATATAGCGATAATTTGCTTCACATCTGTCCGCAGGGTTTTGGACTATTTAACTTTTACCAGATCAAGTAAACCCTCATAGGTACATTTTGGAGAGGTTGACAGCTTAGGAGATACAAAACATAGAAACTAGTGAGAACACTGTCTTGCATATTGAGACAAAGTTCTAACTGTTAGAAAAAATACTTAAAGAGAAGGAAATTGATATAAATTAGCCAAAATGTCTGGGAAGGCTTCAAATTAAAAAGATGCATAAGTATCTTGTTGAGTACTGTTGCTACAAAATATAAATATTTTGTAGCTTTTAATATGTAATTATCCTAATAATCGTTTAAGAATCAATGCTATAAATTACATGTATTTTAAACTGTGAAATTTTATTAGATTGTGATTTAAAAAGGATTTTTTAACAAATAATGTTAAAAAATAAATAAAATTTAATAGTGGCCATGTAAATACATAATGACTAAGGTTATCTAAGACCCAATTTAATTACTTATAACTAACTGGTTACCTTTAAAGATTATCTCTGCATTTTAAAGCTAGTTATTGCCTTTCTTTAATCCTTATCGTGGTCACAAGATAAAACACAAAAATGTAAAAATTCATGTAAAACCTCTTCTTCGCATCTAGTGAGACTTAAAATAATGCAAAACAACTTGTCACCTCTGGTGCTTTAGTGGATTATTAGGACCTTAAAACTATATTAACTGAGTTACAATCCCTGGAACTCTACAAGAAGCTATGACACTAACTGCGTAAAACAGACCTCAACTAACTTTCAAAATTGCGAACCGTGCATACATCAGGCCTTAAGGTTTGTTCTGATCATCAGGTCTCTCCTAGGCAATCAAGAATGGTGACAACAGCCAGTCTTTTTGTTTTGAATCATGCTGATTGTGATTTTACTTTTCCCTTTAACCTATGCCACTTGACATAAAATCTACTTACTATTTACTAAACTCATAGAGTGAGCAAGTATGTGACAAAATGAGACATTAAAAAAAAAAAAATCAAAGCTAACTTTTAGTAAAACCTAAATAAAATGTCACTTATCTTCTTCCAAATATGTCCAGTTAGTATGAGTGCAAAATGTTTAGTGATAAATTTCATAAACTTTATTTTATTCTCAAACTTACTAATAATTATATTTAATACTAATGCATCCTACTTATGGATCTATTTTATTTTTAGGATGGTATTACAAAATTGAAGTTCAGCATAGATAATATTTTTAATTGAATTTATTCAGTTCCCATTTGCTTATAGGTCCTTAATTTTTTCATGAATAGTCCTTAAAAGTACTTAATTTCCGTGTCCAGAAATGTGTACGAACCCTGATACTCTACTGTAAAGTACTGTTATAAATATGGGGCAACTGCCAATCCATTTAACTTAAGATCTTTCACTTTAAATTTCATTGTTTATTGCTTAACAAAAAGAATTATTTAAAAAAATATCTGTGGTTTTTAATACCATTTTGCAATAATTTTGATAATATACTGTTATTATTAATTAGTGTAGTGTAATTAATGAAAGACATAATCTAAAAACAGGTAGTATTTTGTACATCTATTAAAGGATATTAAACTTTAGTATTTATGTGATTAACAATATACCTCAGTATTCAGACGTAGGAAAAGTATAACTGAACAAAATTCAATATGTGTTGATATAAATTAGTCAAATAAATAGCCATTGGTATAAAAGGGACTGAGTGCTGAGTGCTTTAACTAATATAAAATGTTTTTTCTTTTCTCACTACCTTAACGTCAGTCTTAAATAGCATAAATATAGTTCATGCTTGTTAACATGATTCCACAGGTAAAAAGGGAATTACATTGTTATCATAAAAGTACATTTAATATCATCTTGGAGAACTTTTTGCATGTTGGTTGGGGAAAGTTCTGGAACGAATTCTTACCAGTTTAGCTCAGAGTGTCCTTGAATACAAGTTAAAAGCTATATAAACCCTGCTGGTCCACAGTCAGTTAGTGAGTGTGTCTTATCTAGTTAGTCTGGTGCAGAGACGATTGAGTTGACAGCCGGCCAGCAAGTGCCGAGTGGGTCGTCGAGTGCATCGAAGAGTCTCTTAGTGCATCGTCGATAGAGTGTGTTAAGCTCCGGGAACGACTGAACCGAAGAGTTGGGAGCTGTGCTCTGTGTGTCATCGAGTGCATCACGAGTTGTAGCATGGAGAGTCTCGAGATTGACCGAGAATGACCAAGAAGAGTCGGAAGCTGTATTCTAGTGCTTTGCTGTGACGCTGTCTCCATCGTGATAGCCTGATAATCTGGTGTCAGTGTGTTTTAAGTAGTTCATCGACGACTGTAAAAACGGTTTTGGAGCTGTCCTGACAATACTGGAGCTTCTCGTTGACCGTTGGGTTGGCGAAAAGTTCACAGATTTACAAGTGGAAAATTATTTTAAAATTAATAACTTCTAATTAACTTACCAACTTGAAACTATTATCAACATTTCGACTTTTGAGATATATTTAATGTTTTATTTCGTATTTTTTTAAAGGTCTATTCATTCATGTTATACATTTCTGTTATTGTTGCTTGAAAAATTGCATTTACATTATATATTTTTTACATTTTACTGTACGCGATAAAAATTTTGTTTTATCATTTTAAGGTGCTCAAATGTTCTTTATTATGAAATTTTACATGGAGTGTATTTTTGAAATCCACGCAGAGTTGAAACTTATTTAAGTACATCAAGGTGAGCGAAGCTGCGGGTAAAGCTAGTTCTTCATAAAGCATTCCCTCCTGATTTTAAGAGGATTGATAGTGATTTTCATACTCAGTGGCATTTATCTTCTTGCAGTGAATATACATCTTGCATTGATTCTCCCTTTTCTCCTGCTGAGGTTGATGATGTAATTTGGAATTTAAAGCTTGGTAAAGCTCCTGGCCCTGATTTTATTCCCAATGAAACTATAAGATATTTTCATCATTTTTTCCCAGCTGTCTTTTATATATTATTTAATGTATGTTTGAATCTTTGTGCTTTTTCACAAACTTGGAAGAATGCTATTGTCATTGGGATACCCAACGGGAAGAATTTGTGTTCCACATATGAATAGGTGTTTCTGTCTTCTTCTTTCCCTGGGTAAATATTTTGAAAAATTAATTACAAACAGAATTACTTGGCATTTACATAAAGAAAATCTCCTTAGTGCTGACCAATATAGTTTCACTGCTCAAATGGTGTACTGAGGATGCACTTCTGCATCTAAACAACACTGTACAGAGGAGCAAGATGAGAGGTTTATATACTATTCTAATTTTCCTTGATATTAAAGGAGACTTTGATGCTGCATGGTGGCCTGCCATTCTTAATTTATTGAAGAAAATGAAAGTACCTCAAAATGTGCTTAATGTTGTTGTTGATTTGCTGAAGGATAGGATTGTCGATCTTCTCCTAATTGCCCCCTCAAGAATTCAAAGACCTCAGAATGGAAGTCCACAAGGATTTGTTTCTGGTCCCAAGTTTTGGATTATTATTATCAATGATCTTTTACAGAAACTTGTTGAGTTTTTCAATTGTGAAGTTATAGCCTTTGCAGATGATTAGTTGATTTGTGTTCTAGGATAGGACAGGGTTGCCACGCTACCTAGAAAACCGGAAAAAGTCAGGGAATTCGGAAATTGACCAAAAAATTCAGGGAAAAGTCAGGGAATTAAGCGTTTTAGTCAAAATCTGGAAAAGTCAGGGAATTTCATACAACGATCCCGCCAAAAAAGGCGAGTTTTGTGCCGACGTCAGAAGAGATCACTTTTTTGGCGAATTGTGTATCACGTGAGTGTCATTCGGGCAGCTGGCATAGAGCCAATTTTCGCAGCTCAAATTTGATTGTCTTTTTAGAAAGGCAAAGCAAGTTTCCCGCAACTTTTGGTTTCCAGTACCTCGAGAATCGCATGTGCAGTGCATGAACTAAAGAAAGTACCTGTTCTCGTATAAAACAAAATCGGTTTAATCCTAGTATACGGTACCATAAAGGTTAGAATTTAAAAAATATGTATTGTAAAGAAGGAAAACCTCTCTGCAACAGACGTGGCTCGGTTCCATCATAGCGGGAAATTGCTGTGCATGCGCGATATATCTGTCGCCAAAGCTCGAAACCGGTGTCGAAGTTCGAAGGTCACGTTATCAAGAGTTCATAAAATGAATATCGTTTAAAATGTCTTTAAACTCTAAAGGAAAAGAAAATATTTTTTGGCTCAAGTAAATTAATTCATGGATTAGTTATTTTGAGGGGGGGGAATCTACGAAAATCCGTTTTTAAAATTATTGCAAAAAATCCAAGAAAAAACGTTCTTTGATAAAAACGTTTCTTCTTGGATGTTTTGCAATACTTTAAAAACGGATTTTCGTAGTTTTCTTTTTTTGTCAAAGAACGTTTCTTCTTAACACATGTTCAATTTCCTGTACACATCGCAGAGAGGGAAATTCTGGCCGTTCCGTCGTCAAATCCCTTGGCAAATTTTCCCTCCACTTTTTACATAGACGTTCTTTGGTTAGAATAATATCCATGTATGGTACAGCGGGATTGGGCGACATGATGATGAGCAGTAAACAAGTCATTCATTTTGTTCTTGGCGACAATTTTTAAAATCATGGCCGTGGCCGTATCATATACTAGGATTTTATCACAAAATCTTCTCTCTTTTTCTTTTTTAATAAATACCTTGTCATTTTGCAGTAAAATAAAAAAATAGTAATCAATCATCTAGGATAACCATGTAATACAAATATATTCGCTAAAATATCGTCGATTATTCTAATTAAATTTTTAAGTAATTATCTTTATTTTTATGTTATTCATATCATTTAATGTTGCTTCTTCCCTCTAAATTTATTTATCATTAGTAAATAATATTTCCAAATTTCAGGAAATTTTCTCTGCCATAATCCTGAAATTAATTTTAGCAGTATGATGGCATCACGAAATGTAATGCACATATTTTTTCCTTATGTATGCTGCGAAATAAATATAAAATACCTCAATTTAGTAAAAAAATATCATTAAATAGATTTCTTTCTTTCGTTTGGCTGCAGAATGTCTGCAAAAAAAGCCTTATTTTATTCCAGATTGGGCAGATTCTAATCTCAATCTTCAGTGGAGAAAACAACTTCTTTTATAATTATATTTGTGCTTTCAAGTGTTAAGGTGGCTTTTAAGAATACACCTGACACAAATTAAATTTACCTAAAATCTAACCTAACTTTTAGCATTGCATTGTGATTTATAAGAACCGGATTATCCTCGTGTTGAACTGGGGATGATCATGAGTAATAATTAAATAAAATGTACAGTTGTTATCCAATGTATATATCTTAAATTTTATTAAGTTTTTTAAGTGGAAAAGTAAACAAAATTATCAAACAAAGTGTACCAAGAATAATTAAGAATAAATGTCCTCTGGGATTTATTGAATAATTAAGTGAATTTGCTACACAGTACAAGTAATACTATAATTAATTTACCTCTTAGCACAGCCAACATACATTACGCGGATAGACTGGAATTTTCTCGAAACATACCTGGAAAACCTGGAAAAATCAGGGAATTTCATTCTCCTGTTTGAGTGGCAACCCTGATAGGATTTTCATTTTCATTTTTTTTTTTTTTTTTTTTTTTTTTTTTTTATCTTAAGATATTTTTAATGTCATTTGTCAGTGGTCAATGAATTTTAAGTTAAAATTTAACCATGCAAAATCTAAAATGATATGTATTTATAGAAGAAATATTAATTATGATGGGTATCAAGTGTTTTCAAATGATAATCCCCTTGAGAGGGTGAATGAAATTAAATATTTAGGTGTTTTGTTCTCTCTCCAAAAAAACATATAAAATTATTATTAAATTATATATTAAAATATTTTAACATATATATTTAACATATTTTTAACATATATATTTTTAACAAAAAACATATTTGGCCAAAGTAATTTCATATTTATATATTAAGAATACTTTTATATAGTATGTGATATGAATGAAAGTATATGATAAATATATGTCTCATAAGTTGATCAAATAGTAGGATCTCATAAGAAGGAAAATTTGGCATGTTATTTTCTAAGAGTATTTTTTTGAAGCGTAAATATTTTTCAATTGTAAAAGTTACTTGCCTTCTGAAATTTTATTGTCAGTGCTCATGTTTTGTATTTTGGATCCTTAAGTTTCCTTTTAATGTGTTTTAGTTGATTCAAATCACAATTAATACTAATCATCTAGAAGATGCCAGCATATATCTAGAAGATTATATTTCTACTGTTACAGGGTATAGTACTTGTTAAGTTTTTCCTATTTTAAAGTTTATACCTTTTCATAGTCTTCAGAATTTGTAAAATAATTCCTGTAATAAATATTTAATGTTTGCATAAATATTGTGAAATAAATGAAATTTTAATAAATTTGTAAAGCTTACCTATGTTTTAAAAATTAGGATGTAATTTGCTATGCTGTTTGGTTAGTTGATTTATCATTCTTCTTAATGTGAATGCACTTTAATGGAAGTCTAATTTTCAGTTTTTTATAGTTGAAATAAAATTTGCTAACATACTTCTAAGTTCTATAATTGTCTTTTATACTAATAATAGGTCTGCCAGTGAATCCTTCCATGTTGCAAAACTGCAAAGCCGTTCTATGTTCAAGGTTAGTGAAAGTGGACTGATTTTTATTTGACCATAATGTTATGTGAAATTGCTTTGAAAATCAGTATCCAAAATGTTTCATGTCTAAAAGCATTTTAGCTTTTGAAATTAAAAATTCTCATTTTTGTGGCTACTAATTTGGCTATTTATAAATAATTTTTTTTTTTTTTTTTTTTTTTTTTTTTTTTATGTTCACAAAATAAAAAGCACACAAATAAAAAGCAAACAAAATTTTATTTGCAAAGAAGATTTTAGGTATGAACTGATATTTTCTTAACACAATGTTTTTATGTATTGCCAAGCATCCAAATAAGTTTGTGCCGTAGTTTTCAGTGAGAAATAACATCCTAGTAATTTCATCAGATACATTTCATTCAGAAAAATAATCTCCTTCAGCTTCAATTACATGTTCTCAATTAGTTACAAGCTTAGTCATCTTGCATTTGTAAAAGTTCTTGTTCCTTGAGCCTAAAAATTTTCCTGTGGCCTGTGTGATGTCATCTCAGTTTCAGAACTGTTGCTTACACAAATGGTTATCCGTGGCCAAAACCAGCTGATAATCAGATGAAATAATGTTTACGGAGTAAGAAAGATGAGGTGAAATTTCCCAACCAAGTGCTGTTAATAACCTCCTTTGTCATTTTTGCTATATGAGGTCTGGCATTGTCTTGAAGAATGATCACTCCTTTCCTATTGACTAGTACTGGCCGCTTCTGATGCAGTACAGCAATTATGAGGAGTACACCTTCTCATTGCAAAGATAGTTTTACTGTTCTGTAACAATTCAAAGTGCACAATATCAGCAGTGGCCCATCAAAAATAGAGTGTACCTTCTGTTGATGAATGTTTTGATTGGGGGTAAATGCCTCAGAACCAAGGGACAGCTAATAATGTTTTCTTTTGTGGTTACCATATAAGGCCCATATCTCATTCCATATCAATATCTGGTCCGGAGGGGGGGGGTTTCTTGTGGCGTGATTGCAATGAAGAGAAGATGGTGAGCAACTGGAGCTCAGTTTCCATGGTTGAAACCAGAAGAACCCACTTAGTGAGCTTCCATATCTTCCCAAGGTAGTGCAGGAACAATAAAAAAGTTTCCTGTGACCCTCCAAACACTTGTGCAAGTTTCTTGCTTGTTTGATGTGGCTTGTGATCGATATCCTCCTTCAGTAAGGCTTCTTTGATAGTAGATGGATTGCCGAATTCAAAGCTTGTCCTGGAGGCCCTCATCTCCTAATCTAAATCTATTGAACCACTATTGCACTGTGCACTCAATTGCTGATTGCTTTCCAAACACAGAGCATATTTTCCAACAGATTCTGCAGCATTGCTGCTCAGTTTGAACTTCTAAAGTAAGCATGGCCATAAATCATCTTTTAACACTAATATGTTCACTTCAGAATTGGGTACTTACGTATTATCACAACCAGGTTGGCGCTATTTGTAAGTTTGAGTAAAAAAGTATGAATAGAAAGAAAATGTACATTTATTAATTACAGATAATTTTTAATACAGTTTTTTTATATTATTTTGTTTTAAAATATAAAATAGCAATTAAACCCTTCCGGTTTCGAAATTGAATAAGTTGCAGAATTATTTTTTCGGTGGAAATCTTTTCGCTATTGCTTTTAGCACTGATTGAAAACCGTATTCCCCATAACCATGTACACGTCAACTTTTTTTTACTTAAAAAAACATCCCAGAATTGCACAAAAATGGCATTGCGCACACACTTTATCCATGTACACTACTATTTTCTCATAAATTACAAAAATTTGCACGAAAAATGCAGGAAAATTTTGTGAATCTCCACATGCTCTTTTTACAAAACTACGTATAACTTGTAGGGTTGCCGTAAGTAGGGTCGCCAAATTTGGCAATTTATGCGAATTTTGGCCTGGTTCCATTAATATGTAAGTACCCAGAATTGTAGTTCTTACAAAATAGCTTTCGACACAGCCAACATACCTCACAACTTTGCACTTCAGATGTTGATGGGAATGTCAACATCTGAAGTCATCCCGAGAGGGTGTCCGGCATCTTACGTTTGAATTTAACTTTTCACTCTAGTGGGTTCCATGTGAATTTGTCTCTTTCTCAGAAGATAGCAAGTGCTTTATAGATGATGCATTATGTTATATATGCTTGCATTTTCATTTTGTCTTATTACAGAGCATAGGAAAATGATTGTTTTGAAAAGAATAACTTTTTGGTGATGGAATTTTCTAAACTGGTGTTTTCTTTTGCTATTATTACTTTGAAATATCTTAACAAATTTTAGGGCAAAAATGTGATTGTAAAATATTGCAAAGGCTCATTTTGTTTTACTGGAATAAATTCTCTGCATTGAATGTGCTTTCTAAAATAAATAACTGAAACTGTTTATTTTTTTCTAATAAGTCTGTGTTTTCTACATATATTAGAAACTTATTTATCCAAGTTAAAAGAGGCAAAGCTAATTTGGATTAGAGGGTTTTTTTTCCACACAATTAGTAAGAAATATTTTAAGTGGTGTAGATAATGGTAAATGTTGGCAACATTAAGTGCCTTTACTAATTACAGTGCACTTTTATCTTTTTATTATTTAAGATAATGTATAATCTTTTGATCATCTTCACAAATACTTATGAACAACATGCTGCATTATCGTTTAGTGATTAGTATACATGGATACTGTGATGGAGTATTTGAATTCTGATGAGAGTATTTGTATTTTTACATTTGCATGCCGTATCCATGTTTGCTGCACTGTACCTGTGTGCAATTGATTATAGCACGAGTATAAAGATTTGAACTTTTGCCGAGACTCGCACTTGTAACTTCACTGTTCCTGCTTGTTCATAGTCGGCACTTGACATTAGCTTATCATCCTGTATTTAATTTCGTATTTTACCTTTTAATTTTAAATAAAGTTAATTTTAAAGTTTACTGAAAGTCTTCGGCTTTCTTTTTAATGAACCTTCTGATAAGTTTGGAGAGTAGCTTTAATCATCGCCACCGCGTCATTCCTTTTACAAGTATTTCACATTGGATTGTTTTTGTATACATTTCTTTGGAATAACTTCTTTTACATATTAAATATGTATTTAGCTCTAGAGAATTCAACTGAATGATAATAAAATTAATAAATTTGGAAATGGTTGGCTTATGAACTCATTTTTCAGTCATATTTTTCTATACCTTTCAGTTAGGCAGCATTTAGTGCTGCTTACTTTTGCTTTATTTTGTTTATTTAAAATCTACAATTATTTCTTTATTTTTTTCACAACACATAGATTTCAGGTATCTTAAGTTTGAGTTTCTTTTTTTTTTGAGATAAAAGAAAGAAATTTTATTTTTAAGGAACTCCTAGTTATTGTTTGTTATAGATGTATAATATAGGGTAGGCAAATATAATTGTAGAAGTATGTTTTTAAGATCTATAGCATGCATTTCATCATGATAATTCCTGAAAGAGGACAATTTTTATGCACATAGTGATTAGCTGTTCTGTGTTGCTGAGTATAGGTAAGTATTACCAGTTACAGCTGTCATGTTGTCTTTCATTTGCCGGACTTCATAGGCTTTAGATGGCCAATATTTTTTTTCCTTCTGCTGCTACCAAAATGTGTTTTAAATCATTGTTATTAAAATATATTTGCTATAACAGTGAAAGTTAATAATTATACAGCACAAATGTTAATATAAAGTAATATTAATATGTATTAAAATGTTAATATACACACACTCACTGATTAATCAAAACATTATAACTGTCTGTATGTTATGCAGCTGGAGTTAGCTGTAGGGCTAGTTAAATGGGAAGGGGTGTCTGAGGTGATATATAAGTGCTTGTTACTGTGCTTTGTTATGCAATAATTTGTATTGTCAAATATGAGCAAAGGTAAAGATTGGTGTGACTTTGGCAAAGGTCATATTGTAATGGCCTGATGTCCTGGAACATTTTAGAGTACAAGTCTTATCAGCTGTTTTTGTTATGCAATTTTTAGTACACATCAGGAAGTTTACAAGCAGTTGAAACAGCTAGTCGAAGACAAGGTGTTGTGTGGCTAAGGGCCATTGATGACAAAGTGGAATGAAGTTTTGTTGGTTTGTTCACGTGGATAGACATGCTATGATGGCTTCTATTTCCAATTAATTCAATAGTTAGAGAGGTAGGATTTGCATCAGATCATGCAATTCACTGTACCATGTTTTCCATTGCATTAAGGGAAGTAAGAGAGTGACAAGCCTTGTTTTTAAATAGTGACAAGCCTTGTTTTCTTTACATCACATGGAAGTTCTTGTGTGATGTTTCCTGACTGCACTGTTGGATAGAAACAGGCTGATGGTGGGAGTATTATGATGTGAGTAGTTTTTTTCATGGAATATGTTTGGTTTCAGAATATGCTTGATTTCATGTCATTTGCAAAATAGTGGCAATGCTTCCACTTATCTAAATGTTCTGAGAAGCAAATTATGTTCCTTTATGTCTGTCATCTTTCCAGGTGGAAGTGGCATGCATACGGCAAGGTAATGGTCTCTGTCGCGAAGCTTTATAAGGTTCTGAGGAAGGGTTCAATGAACATTATGATGGGCTCTTTTTAATGCCACAGGTCCCAAAATTTCTCAACATGAACTCTATTGAACACCTGTGATTTCATTTAGAATTGCACATCTAAGAATAACATCACGGAATAGAATTTATAAGAATTAGGCTAACTTCTTCTGCATTCAGGGTATGATATATTATGAACACTATTAACATCTAGATAGGGATTCCCAAACATTTTTCGGCTCACCAGCGGCCGAGCGGTAAAGATGCTGAACACTGGTAGTTCGGTCCGAGGTTCGAATACCGCGAATGGGCTGGCTGCATGGTGGTTTTCGTGGTTTTCCCCATGTGTACCATGTATACGAGCCAGTTTACCTTAGAAAGTCCTCCACAAAGGCATCCCTCCATTTAGGCATATAGCCCTCGTATGCTTTGCCATAATTGAATAATCCAATCCAATCCAATCCAATCCAAACATTTTCTTGCATTGACTGTTTTCAAAAGAATGGTTTTCATCATCAACCTTCTTAATCATCAACAACTCTTCTGTAATATAGAGCATATAACATAATTGTAATGGGAGGAGGAACAGCTATTAGCATATAATGTTTTTCTCAAATGTAAAGGGTACACATATTGATGACGCAATTGCCATTTGAGCCTAATTTCTGTTAAAAAGTTTTAACAGCAAGCATGGATGAAAGACAAAGTGCAGATTTTACCATGGTTCTTTAATTTTGCTTTCTTCATATCTTTTTCATTGTGTTTTTGAGTATTTTTTATACTGCGCTTATTACTTAAACAATTTACATGTACACATCAAACTATTTTCTCTTTAAAGAAAAACTTACACAATCAGAGTTAGCTGTATTGTGAGCTTCTAACACCTTCCATTTCCCATTATACCTGTAGTAGTACAATGGACAAATCACTAATTAGAAATTCATACTAGGCCTGTGTAAAGTTTAAAACTCAGGCATATCATATATCTAAAACTGTTATAATAGGATTCGTTTCTTAAACTGGAATCTTATTCTGTGGCCAACCACTTGAGAAATATTTAATTATGCTGTTTTTTGAACACCCTTATACACATATAATTTATAGTGAAATCAAGATGTTTGCATACTTTTCTACTTAAGAAAAGTAGTCTAGATCAGTTGTTTTAAACCTTTTTTGTCCCATTCACCCCTTTTATCATTGCTAAAAGATCATTCTTCTTTCCATGTACACATTGATATGCACCATATAAGTGGATGATTCTGCACTTTACCCATATTAAATAATTTTAAAGATTAAAGTAAAGTTCAATTTAATTTTAAAAAATTCTCTTGGAGCATTGCTGCAAGGAATGAAATTTGAATTTAACAAACATTCTCGATTCATAAACAGCAAATTAAAAGCAAATTTAAGGTTAATTTAAATTAAATTTAATTAAAAAATTAAAGAGTTTATAAACTACTTTGGTTTTCTAAAAATTTGGTTTTCTACTCTTATTTTTTAAATTTTCTAATTTTAATTCTTGTCTTTTAATTGCTAATTTCTCAAAATTCCATTTGTTTAAATTTCTTTTTAGTATTTCACCACATTTGGTATTACTTTTGGTTTGACTTTACTTTTGCTTGCATGAATGAAGAAACACGAATTGAATGATCGAAGAGTTAGGTTTGGAGGCAACTTCCCCTAGATACGTCTGTCTCCTGCTTGCTCAACAATCATTCACTTATGCAGTTTTCTAAATAATTTTTTTAGGATTAAATAATTTTAAGAATTTTATATTTATTCATGAATTTGATACTTGCACTTGATTTACATAGGCTCTCAGAATTTAGATACTGTAGATTAGTTTGCAACAACATTAATCATTTATTTTTGCATTAAATTTAAATTAACTTTAAATTTGCTTTTAATTTGCTTTTTTACGAATAGAGAATGTTTGTTAAATTTAAATAATTTTAACATATTTTCCTCTTTATATTTATTTTCTTTTATTTCTTTATACCCTTTTCTTTATACCACATTTTATAGTTATCAATAAACAATTAATTATCTACTTTATTAATAAATATTTTGTAGTCATTGAGATTTTGATTATGCTGATCACTGACACATATTCAGCTGTCCACCCCCATTCAACCTCTTGGTCATCATCAATTCCCAAGAACACTATACTGATCCTTTGGGAACCCCTGGTCTAGATGAAGGCATGGTTCACTGCATGAGGCTGTTTCACACTCCAAAGATAATCTATGCTTTATCAAGTAGCTGAAAATGCTTTGGCTGATTAATGTATTTACAATTAATTTGTTAACATATGTATTTAATGACTGCAAACCAAGTAATATCTTTTATCTTCTGTTTATAGGATGCTCGAGCTGATGCTGAATCTCAAATCTATGAAAAGTTAAATGAAAAAATTGATGAATTTTTAGAGCTAGGTAATATGATTTTAAAATTTAAATGTGTGTAATATTTGTTAAAAATGTTTTTCTAATGTATCTATCTTTTTAATTTTTCTTATTTATAGCCAATTATGATTGGTTGTTGAACGAACCAGAGGGTCAGGCAAGCAGTTACCTTACTGATCTGATTGCCTTCTTGAAAAGCACCTTTGAAGCCTTTACTAACCTTCCAGTAAGTACAAGTTTCATGCTATGTTTCTGAATTTACATTTTTTTTAATTTACTTTTTTTTTTTTTCAAATCTTGTTTATATATGAATTAATGCATATTAATTTTAACTTAGAGTGCAATATAGTTCAAATGTTGGGGCATACAATTTAAACAGTTACGCAACACATTATATCAATCATGCTTTACTTTAACATTTGAGGCTCTATGACTTTTAATATTGTTGATACTCATAAATATGTGCAGAAGTAAAACGTATGGAATGTGGCTTGCAAATTCAGGTAATGGCTGATTTTTGCTTTGGTTTGAGAATAAGATAGGTTTAGGGTCTTTCCTTTAGTTTCAAAAGAGGGAGGGGGTTACCAAATTTTTAGCATAAATATTATTTTATATGTCTGTTCACATACACACTTTTACATCAATATCTATACATGTATATAGAATGTGTGTATTTGTAAATTCTGTGGGAAAACCAGAAAATTAAATTATTTAAATAAGTTAATTGAAAATAACAAGAAAGTACAGTTTTCATGATGGAAGGGGTGAAAAATACCCATAAGAAGAGTGCACAGGATGTTTTTAAAAGACTGTACACCTAAATATCTCTTTTATGTTTGATTACAAACTCAGGGTTTCAGTTTAAAAATTGAATCAAATAAGGCCTTCTAATTATAGTAATTTTGATCATGTGATATCTATTATAAAGGCTCGTGAAACTTAAATATTATACAAGCCTCACAGGTAGCAATTATCAATGAGGGTAAAGGTTTCTGTAGCTGGAATAGCTAAATTAAAAAATTCTTTATCAGAATTACACAGAGTTAACTGTATTATGAGCTTCTAACTCCTTCTATTTCCCATTACACCTGTAGTAGTACAATGGACATATCACTAATTGGAAATTCATACTAGGCCTGTGTAAAATTTAAAATTCAAGCATATCATACATCTAAAATTGTTATATAGGAACCTTAAATTATTTCATTCATTTCTTAAACTGGATTCTTGTTCTGTGGTCAACCATTTGAGAAATATTTAATTATGTTGTTTTTTTGAACATTCTTATACGCATATAATTTATTATGCTATTTTTTTAACATCCTTGCATATAACTTATTATGCTGTTTTTTAACATCCTTATATGCATATAATTTATTATGCTCTTTTTTTAACATCCTTATACGCATATAATTTATAGTAAAATCAAGATATTTACATACTTTTCTACTTAAGAAAAGTAGTCTAGATCAGTTGTTCTAAACCTTTTTTTGTCCCATTCACACCTTTCACTATTGCTAAAAGATCATTCTTCTTTCCCACACTTATATATATGTATATATCCTGCTAATTGCAATTAAAAAAAGGAGGTGCACAACTTGATGCTATAGTAGTCCCATATATAAAATTTCAACATTATATAGAAAATATCATAACTAGTTGTTATAGCAGTCCATATACAAAATTTCAACATTTAGTATATATATATATATATGAGCACAAGGAAAAGCCGGAACATTGTCGATGCGTGCTTAGATCCATATTGAAGAAGTATTTTGATTGCATAGTATCTAAAGAACTTGGCAGTCGGGGCAATTTTAATTCCATTTTTATTTGGAATTGATATTCGTGGCCACAATCGCTTGGCACTCCAGTCGTGCCTTTCCACAGAAGATTTACATCTTTGATATTGTTGAGATAGAAAGCAAGCCAGCGAAATTATATCTTAGCAGCGTAGTTATGCAAGATAGAAGCACGCGAAGAGAAAAGTTTTGGTTTGCAATTTGGTGATTGGTCAAGAGGAAGCTGCATTAACGGTTACATAAGATCGTGTGATTAATTTGAATGACGCAATTTAGACTTAAGCACTATTTTTAGGACAGGTAAATGAAGTTCCAAATGAAATAGAAAATAAAAGAAGTTATAGTAAATTAAATTTAGAATATTTGAATATTTTTTATCTTATACCTCCTTTCAAAAAAAAAAAAAAAAAAAAAGGCAGAGCAGAGCAGAGAAGCCTTTTTGATAGAAAAAGCATTAGAGTAGCAAAAATATAATTTTTAAACATACAAAATATAATATTAGATTTCGAACAGTAAAATTATAATACGTAAAATTTTGAATTCAATAATAATTTTTAAAATCCTATGATGATTTGAGTCCAATCTGGAGACAGTTCTTTTTTCTGGAACATTCACATCACAATTTTGATATTTCAGAAAAGGATTTCCAAAAAATTTTTATACACAGTGTCACAATTATAAAAGATTTTATGTACCGATTAGTTATTACGAATGATCATGAATCTTAAAATTTACACCAATTTTCACATTGATAAGTAATACTTATCATTTGGAATAGCACGATTGAAATTGTGGTTTTACTTTTATTACTACATTTTACAATTTTCTTATTTTACACAAACTAGAAGACCCCATGGCTTTCTTCTAGTACACACATCTAGCTACTTGGGGAAATCCACTTTAAACAGACTCATGTACTCATGTCAGACTTTCCCATGATTCACTGTGAACACAGAATAACAAACCTGTGTAGATTTCTTCATAATTAGAACTGGCCGAAAAATATAATGACAGAACAATTTTGGAGGCATTGAAATATGAACACTGAGATGCAGATACATAGGAATACTAATTGCGTAGATACTTGATGCTTAGAGCGTCCATCCATTTTAAAGAAGAAGCAGTTGAGCCGGATTAAATTCCTTTTTTATTTATTTAAATTCCCATTTGTGGCCACATTATTTGGCACTCTGCTCGTGCCTATTAAAGAACATTTACAATTTTTGATATTAGAAGCAAATATAGCAGCTCATACGTGATTGCAGTAAAGCATCTGGTGAAGATGAAAGCACAAGCAAAAGTGATGCATCAGTTCATAGAAAGAGGAGATGGAATCAAAAGTTTCAGTTTTTAGTTTTGGTTATAATTTGGTGATTGGTCAAGAGGCATCTGCATTAAGGATTGCGAAAGATTGCATGATTAATTTGAATGATGCAGTTTGGACTTAAGCGCTATTTTTAGAACAGATAAGTGAAGTTCCCAAATGAAATAAAAGAGGTTATAGTGAATTAAATTTAGAAGTTTGCTTTCATTTTTTATCTTGCATATATATATATACAGTCAAAAGTCTTTAAATCGGACTCGTCGGGACTTCGGCGGTTCCGGATTATAGATCATCAGTTTAAATCCGGTAAGATGGCATTCTGAAATTATAAAATTAAAAATATGAAACCGTAATTTATGAAATAAAAGAGCAATTGTGATCTAAAGGGTATCAAAATTTACAAAAAAAAAAAAAAAAAAAAAAAAAAAATGAAGCTTAATATTTATTTGTTTACTTTATTAAACATTTCTTTCAACGCGCGCATGCATAAAGCATACATTACGCGTAGTCGAAATTAGAAAATTGCAACCAGAAAACTATTTGATGTGTATTCGTGATATTTATAATGACGAGGAAATGGATTTAAATTATATAGAAGTACATTGAGATGAAACACTACATTTAGTGAGGAATTATAAGCCGAATACAATAAAAACATCTGCCCTGAAGATGAGGATAGTGCTGACAGATCAACTTCCAGTTCGTTGCGCTTCGCGACGTCCCCCCCCCTTCGCCAGAGCAGCGTGAAATTGATAAACAGATTTCGGAATGGAATGATTAGAGAACATAAGATATACGCCTTTTATCCCATTTTTTGCAGCAATTCCACTTTTTGTTTGATGGACATCGAAAACATGCTTTCGCTTTGCAGATCCTTTTGGCAGCTCCAGCATCGGAAATTCTATTTGACATAATTGAAAGTTCACGCTTACTTTTATAAAATTGCTCTAACAGTCTGCAGAAAATAATAAGCCGGATCCAATTCGAAGAGTAAGGACTAACGCAATCTGCAACAGTAACTGAAATAGATAATTAGATAATTTTAGCTTAGCTTATATCGTCTGTTATACATTAAACGTGCATGCGTAAACGTATCACGTGCATGCGCATGTGTTAACGCATTATGCATTGACGCATGCGCAGAAAGTTTGTAGCTTTGAGGTCCAGCTTATAGATCATTCCGGATTATGGGTGTCCGGATTAATGACTTTTGACTGTATATATACATATACCCGCTTTCTTACCCAGCTTGAAAGTCCTTAACAGGCCTTTATTTTCACAATAGTTGGTTTAGTTACAAAACATTCTGTTACAGATGTGTTTTAAATGCTGAAAATATTCATGTTTTGGTAATATCAAATAAAAGAATAAATTTTTTCTTGACAAATAATGAAATCTAACTTTTAATGTGCATTCCCGGTTTCTAAAATTATATTTGGGAAAGGTTTTATATGAAAGAATAAAATTAGAAGACGTTTGACTCCCATATGATAAAAATTGGCTGGGATATATAATGTGCAATTTTTGATGCCATTTGCAACTTGCGTTGAGGGATCGGTTAAGTAAATTATAATAATTCGAGGAAATAAGTTTAAATGAAATGCAACAAAAAATGTGCATAATTTAATAGGCCATGCAAAGAAGTCATGATATCCTCCATCAGATTATTTAATTTATAATGCTAAAAAATCCCAAAATCCCAGTTCCCCCCCCCCTCTTCCAAGTTAAGGGTAGTCAAGTTAATTTAAGTATTGAATACCTGTGAAGCTGTTTGTCTTTTAAATATATGTTGTTTGGTAATTTTATCACATATAAAACCCTGTCTTAATAAGAGCTCTGATTCCTAGCTATGTTAAAATCTCAAATCTCATTATATTGTACAAGATGCTTGAAAAAAGTAGTTGTAGGCAGTATTTCTTTAAATTTAATCTTAGATTTACACATAAACAGAATTTCAGGAAACTTTTTTTGGGAGTCTTAAATCTCTAGATGTGAGTAGTTTTCTGGGGGGGACTTTAGTAATGAACACAGCACAGTAAATATTTGTCTCAATAAATATTAATTAGTAAAAATTAAAACAAAATTGTCTTTATATCGAAAATTATAGAGGTATTCAATGTGAATTTATTGACATCAGTCATTTTTCCATGCTTATTACGACTCAATTCAAAACTTTTAAAAAAAATTAGGGAGCAGCTATGAAACAGAAGTTGCTGGTTTTGAAAGTTAATTGTTTTCTATCGAATAAAGCATCATTTATCATTAAATTTGTATCTGCCCCTTTTTTATTTCTTATGAACATATTAATTTGTCTTATGGAATTTTTCACATAAAAGTATGGATTCTTATTTTTTAACTATTTAAAGCTTGTTGGTTGTATTGGAATTTGCTTTCTATAAACATTGCAAAAACACTATACAAAATATTATACTTTCTTTCCCAGAACTCTTCGCACTCACATAATCACAGATTTGAGATTATTTTCATCAAATTGTACTAACTTTGTTCATGCTTTTTTAAAGTGTCTTTTAAAGTTCATGCTAATGTATTTCTTACTAAGCATCTTACAAGTTCTGATCTAAAGCAATTAAAAATAAAGTATCAGATAAGAAATAGAAGATTTTATATGTTGACAGAACTTCACAAATAATTTAAACTCTTCTACTGAATTAAAAATTTTGTACGCCTTATTTACACTGGTCATCCATCAACATTAAAGGATAATGGCAGAACTAGAAAATAACTGTTACTTATGAAAAATTATTCATAGAAATTTGTACATATGCATTAATTAACATAAATTACAATGTTGGCAGTTGATTATTCACAATTTATTGAAATTAAAACCAAATTTATGGAAACTGGAAAATGATGGAAAAATTAAGTCGCCTTTTGTGGAAAAATGTTTTCTAATAGGTGTATGGTTACTTCAGATATGCTAATATGGTTGTATGGTTACATAGGACAGATATGCATACTTCATGTCTTGATTTCATAGACTTTACCAATGTGTTGCTCAAATCTTGTGGAATTGCATGCCACTCTTCTAAACGTGCACTTTTCAGCTCTTGGATGGTTTGGGAAAAATTTGGCATGCTGAAAATTGGCACCGTAAGGCATCCCACACATGCTTTATTGGGTTTAAGTTAGGTGAGTAAAGTGGCTAATCTTTTCAAGCGATATATTCTGTTTGCAAGTATTCTGACACCATTTATGCTCAATGAAGCCGAAAATTGTCTTCCGTTAGCAAAAATTCTAGGCTAACAGCACCTCAAAAAGTCTAACTTGTGATTCTAATACCTCATCTACGTATCTTTGAGCAGTTGCAGAACCTCCTTGAAAGATATGTAGCTAGTACGGGCATTTGTTATGATTCCTCCCCAAACCATTAAACCATATTTCAAGACAAGGGAAGGCAAGTTGCGAGTTCCTTCCTCTCTCCAGATCCAAACATGTCTAGAATCACTGTTCAGATTATATCTGGACTTATCAGTAAATAATACTCAAGACCAATCATCTTGGCTTCATTGAGTATGACGACGGCACCACTGGAAGCCGAAGTGAGTGGGACACAAACCATTGACTTTCTTGCATATAGTCCAATCTCATTAAGCCTTTGTGCAGCAGTAGAATAATTAATTCGAGTTCCTGTGGCAGCCTGAAAGTCTAAACCAAATCTCTTATAGTCTCTTTCATTGAGACAAGAATAACAGAAACTGGGCTATGATACAGTTGTTGCACATGGTCGCCCTTGATGAGGCTCTCTGTCAACTGATCCAATGCTTAAGAAGTGGCTCCAAACTCTTGATATGACACTTACAGACATCATACAAGATATGAGGAATATTCAAATCTTGTATGACATCTATTTGTGTTTGACCTCCCTTGATTCTACCAATTATTCACCAGTTTTGACTTTCACTTAAATTATGCCTTTGAGCCATAACTATTGAATATAGATCACTCTCAGAAACCACATTCACATTAAACAACACTGCAGACCAGAATTCCAATATGCGTCCATTGCACACCACATTGTCAATGTTCAAATTTGCATATTTCTGGTGCTAACGTTTGCACGGAAATGCAATTTTATGTTTGTTTATATTTAATTAGTACAAATAGTTACAGCATTATAGGCATTGGCTGAAACATTAATTTAGTGTGCATATTTTTTCTCATTATTGTATCATTTTGATGATCAGTGTATTATAGCTATCTCTTCCATATTATAAGTATTTTACCACATTAATCTTTAAGAAAGAATTTACTCAATTTGCCCTAAAAATTTATAATTTTATTAAAAGATAGTATGAATGAAAAATTAAAAACATTTTCTGCAAGTGTGACAGAAGTCTTTTATTTGGGGGGGGGATGAGTGATTTAAGATATTAAAACTTGTATTTCTATATAAACTGTTTGTCATGTGGATTTTTAAATGTATGTAATTTTTTTAAAGGATAAAGTTGCTCAAACAGCTTGTATGTCATCGTGCAAACATATTGCAAGTGCTCTCATGGGTTTTCTTTTGGATAAAGAAGTCAAACATATATCTATTGGGGCTTTACAACAATTCAACTTAGATGTGATGCAGTGTGAAGGTATTCTGGAGTTTTTTAGTGCTATCACATTTTATTTTGAAAATTTCACAAAGAATAATTAAATCTTGTAAGTTTTACCTTCAAACATAAAAAATGATTGCATTCATTCAGTTTGTGACTTTTATATTACTTATAAGATTCTGTAAATATATGGGATTCTATTCCTCTCCATTACTCTGATGTGTAATGTCTCAAGAAAAATTATTCATACTTATTTTCCCCTTCATCACTGGTTTGTGGATTTATCTGAATTCTTCTAGCATGTACTATGTAAAACATGATCCTGTCAGTATTACTGACCTGCACATCTCTAATTATATTATGCTTGTCACAGTTTCATTCAAGGCAATTCTGAAAATCAAATATTAATATTGCATCAAATATGGGGGGGACCCTCGTCTGAGTGCATTTAACAGTTGTAAAGAAAGTTCATGGAAGGATGCTACATGTTTTATTAACTATTAATCCTAGGCATGTATTTCCAATTACTGTAAATCCCCCTTAACATGAACTCCCTTTAAAGCAAACACCAGTTAACATTTACAAAATTTTGGTCCTGGCAGCAATGTATATGATCTTACAGGAAGTTTTAGATGTTAATGTGCATTTCAGTTAGCATGAATTACAAACTGTTTTTTAGTCCATTGCATTATTAGATTTTGTCATTTAACATGAACTTTAAAAGTTTTTAATATTTTCCCCCCTGTTGTTTCTCTGCTGAGCTGCATTGAGAAATGTTCCGTTCCATTTAATTGAAAACCTCGCAGAATACAGTGGATACTTTACCTTGCATCTCTTCTCACCATAAGAAACCTGGGCTCGACAGCTCATCGTTTCATAATTGGCTTCCTTGTTTTAATAGTCGATTACTGGCTCAGAATAGGCAAGTGTTTGTGACACTGGCCAGATATACGGGCCATAACATAACATGATCTGAACTAAATCAATGTAAAGGTTCATTCCCCCACCCAATACAACAAGCTGTTTTCAAGATCAAGGCATTATTGCAGTTATGAAGAGATCTTATCGCAAGTGACTTGTGAGCGCTGCAGTACGCACTGCTAAAAAAATTATGGAAATGCCAGCTTGGAGATTGATGCAATAAAAGGTATCGATGCACTTTGAAAATCCGTGTCATTACAACACATATTGAACTGTTTTAGCAGAGCCTGAAGTTATAAAGATTTTAATCCTGTTGCCGAGTTAGATGGTGACAACATTATGATGTACAAGCAGTTGTGTCTGAGGTGCAAGAAATGTTATCAGAAGAAAGTGAGGAGGACAGTATCATTCCACTCACCCATCTGGAAGTGTTACATGTCTTGAATCCCGTAAATCGTTTTTCTGCCAAATCCAAATTGACCACTAGTTTTATGGAAGCCATAAGTGCAGTTGGCTATGGCATTTTCATTCCCATCTACAATGGTGCAATAACAGGAATTTTTCACCAGAAAATGATCTGTGAGTGCACTTTTTCAAATTACCAAACAGTAATTAATATAATACCATAGTATTTTTATGATGACATACATAATGTAATGTAACTATATGCTGTAAATGGTTAATGTGTAGAAAAAAATTATGCCGAAAGTAGAATTTGAGCTCCCAGTTAACACAAGCTCTTGAGTTTTCAGGCCCTTGAGTTGCATGTTAACAAAGGTTTACTATATAAAGGTTTTCTTAAATATGGTTGATAATTTTACGTAAGCAATTCCAGCACGATAATTTTACGTAAGCAATTCCAGCACTAGGCATAGAATGTTTTAGAAAATATAAAATTTTATCCTTTATATGATCTTTGTAGAACAAAATGCCCGAATAAAAAAAATATTTACTATACTGATTAAGTTAAATGCTGAAGATTCTGTACATTTATTTACTGATGTAGATCACTTTTTAATTAAATTCACCTTTGCTCTAAAATTTTCTCTGCAAAACCAAATTTGTCAGTTAATGATTTCATACTGGGTAAAACAGTACACTTTATTATTAACATCGTATCTGGTTCCAAGAAAATATTATTTGAAAATATAGAATTTTATGTCTTTTGCATTTGACTTAATAAAGTATAATAAACACTGTAGTAATTTGACTTTTATTCTGTGCAGTCAGTGATCATATAAAAAGCTAAATTGTGTATTTTCAAAACTAATCTAATGAATTTAATCCTGTATTTAGGAGCAGTGCATTTGATTACTATGTAAATGTTGTACAAATAAAGTTTGATGTACTTCCCAAAAATAATAAAAATTTAAGGGGGAAGTGATTAGTTGTTTTGATGAATTTTTATCAGAAAGGAACCTAAGGTGATTAAATAAGAAATGGGTTTTCTCAGTAATGAATTAGTGAAAGTGAAAATGATCTGGCGCTGATTATTGCTTTCATGCACAATTCCTTCGGAGAATTTGGATTGGAGGTAAATTGTGCTAAAAGTTGAGAACATATGACTACTGATTCATTAGAGCCATAGTGAATTGTACTAATTAGATGGAGTTCAGAAATGAAATGTTCAGTCATCACATTTAAAAACACATGGAGATCTAAAGCTGTGCATAACTGGTACAAGCAAAGGTAGTTTTTTTTTTTTTTTTTTTTTTTTTTTTTTTTTTTTTTTTTTTTTTTTTAACTGTTGGAATGCCAGAAGTTAAGTAGAGTAATTCTGTACTCTCAGCAGTGAAACACAATGGAGAAGAAAGAAAGAAAGACGAAATTAAATATAAGAAATTAAAATAACAGAAAGCTGGGAACTGATAGTTTTGCTAATATAACGCTTAACTTATCTCATCCAGGGTTTTTCTGTGAAATACAAGATACCACACACAGACTGTGACCCTTTTGTCCTTAGTTGCCTGCAGTTTTTGGTATTCCGTAAATTTAAAATGCATAATGGTATAGTAGCAAAAGAGCCCCTCTTCCTACCTGAAAAAAATGTCTAATAGTTCTTAACAATGTTCTACATAGCATTCTTCCAACAATTAAAGGACTGTTGAATTAAAACTATTTGTTGCCACAAAGTGTTTATAGAAGTGTTAAAAAGTGTTCACAGAACAGAAGCCTAACTCTCTGTTTTTCTCAAATTAAAGATCATTTTTTTAATTAAGCCTTTTAAAATGTAACAGTTAATGAATTTTTGTATTTATCTAAACTGTTGAACATAAATTCATGCTTGATTTTTCTTCTTTCATAAATTAAAAATTTTGTGCATATAATTGCAGTTTTTGCAAATTGTGTTCCTGTCAGAGGTTTTGAAGAAGGAATTTTATTGATGTGCTTTGCTGAATTGAGACAGGTATGCCATGTAACTATTATAGATTTCTCTGTATGGGAGGTGAAAAGCATTTCATGAAGGTCTTCTTTGTTTATATATATTATTTAATTAAACAGAAGAAATTAATTCTTTTCTGGCAAAGGTCTAAAAAGTATAAGAAAGAAGGAGGTATCATCACTGGTAAAAGACTGTTTATGAGATTGAGAGAAACATGAAATAGGCCCATTAATTAGTAACAGAATAGAATAGCCAGAACAAATTTTGTAATTTACATTATTAACAAATCTTTAACTAACAGATATCCAACTTATTCTGCCTTTTGAAGGTTTAGGAATAAATTATCATTAGTTAACAGATTTAAATAGAGTATTTAATACCTGCTTTCCTGAGACAATAAATTATAAATTTAGTTGGTACTAAATTATTTTGAAGTGTCTGAATTAGTATTAATAATATTTCATTTTCGAAATCAAGTGCATCAGTACAAGTGTTTTTGAATCATTGTATTTGACTAATGACTGGGTTAAATTTTGATTTTACTTTTGATTTTGAAATTAACATTTTAATCTATCTGAAAGAATAAATTTTATTTTTACTCTCGGTTTTGGATTTGATTATAAAAGAATGTTTGAATCTAAAATAATAGGCTAATTTTATTTTTGATTTTGAGTTTAATTATAAAAGAAAGTTTTACTCTAAAATAATATATTCATTTATACATTTTTTCTGTTAATGTCTTCTTTTATATATCTTAATTTTTACAAATATTGATAATTTTTATTATTATATTTACAATACTATGAGAGTGTCAGAGAATAGTTTTTCTAAAATAAGGATATTTTCAAACTCGGTTTTTAACGTATGAATTAGAAAAAATTTTATTTTAGATTTTATTTATGATAAAAAAATTTTTGACTTCAGTTGACCAATATCTTTCTAATAATTGAGTATTGTTCTTAACTTATAAAACAACTCTAACAAAATTACTAATTTGATCCTTATTGAAAAAAAGACAAAACACTCTCACTTAATTTAGTTATTGTTAATTGACAGTAGATTGGGTTGTGCCCCTTCACAAGTCAATCTGCCATCAGTAACAATAACTACTTTTTCATTACTTTGGATTTTGAATTTAATGTTTGGAATTTTGGCAGTCAAAGGATTATTCTGTACAGATTTTAAATAATTTTTGCTACGACCGATTTTAAATAATTTTTACTACAATAGATCTAGGTAACTTTGGATACTGACTTGGAAAGCTACTTAAAAATACTCACTAAAGTTTTTTCTAATAATTCATAGCATTAATTAAATTTCTTTTCCTTAGAGATGATATATAAATACTTTTTATAATAATAAATTATTGTGTTATTACTTAACTGCTTTAGTGCAAGTTTTAGGCATTATAAATTACTCATAATTTTTTTACATATATATAATGGGTAAAGCTGAAAAGGCAGTATTAAGACAGACAATGAAAAAATGAAAACTTCTACATATTCAATTCATGAGTTAATAAGTTAATAATTCAACATAACATACATGGCAGTTCAAATTTTTTTTTAATTACCAAACTTTAACCAAAATAATATATCCTATTTAATATGTTATTTGTTAATTTGCCAATTTTTTCAAAAACTCTTTTTTTTTTTTTTTTTTCTAAGCACTATGTTGTGTTACAACAATGATATATAGGGCATTTCTTATTGAATGAGATAAAAAGAAAGTATACCTGTGAATGCTATAATTACTTTATTTTGATAAGTCAGATTTTACATTAAAACTATTGCTATCCAAGTGTCTGTAAATATTCTGTGTGGGCACCTTTGGTGACATAGCAAAAATCTATGCGGTATTCCACTTCCTGCCATACTCGTGATAGAATATTCTTTGTTAATGAGTCGAGCACTTCAGTTATCTGCTGCTTCAATTGCTGTAAATCATGGGGAAATAGAGGCGCAAACAATTTGTCCTTAACAAAAACCCATAGGGAAAAATCACAAGGGGTTAGATCCGGGGATCTCAGTGACCTATAAAGTAATGGCACATTGTTTGACCCAGCACGGCCAATCCAGCTATGAGGTAGACCATCATTTATGTCCTGGCATACATTTTCATGCCAATGTGATAGAGCATTGTCTTGCTGCAGAATGAAGCCAGAAACTGTTTTCTCCAACTGAGGGAACAATCGCTCTGATAGCCTATCTTGGTAAATGGAGCCATTAATTGAGTTTTCCACAAAGAAAAAATTACCAAAAATACAACGGTTGGAAATGGCGCAGAAAACATTCACCTTTGGAGAATCATGCATATGTTCCATGACACCATTAGGATTTTTTATGTCCTAAAAATCATAAAATATAGTGATTAACTTTGCCAGAAATGTGAAAAGTTTCTTCTTCCATAAACACAAGTTGCGAAACCATCTACCTCTAGCTTATTTTGCAAATTTTTTCAGAAAGCTTTACCAATGTTTTATTGAAAAGTTTTAACACCTGTACCATCTGAAAGGTATATGGCCAGAATTATAGACATTTTCATAACACACGCCACACTGTTTCATGAGGTACATTAAGTTCAGAACTTACATGATACATTCATTTTGTGAGGCTTCGTAAAAACATTTCACAAATTTTTTCAGCCACTTTGGTTTTGGCTCCTTTTGTCTCGGGCTTGTTTTCTTACACAAGCTGACTCTGTCCTGAAACTGCTTCACACATCATTCTATGTTATGTTGATGCAGTGGTTTTTTTTATCAAATTTCATGCAATTTGTGTGTGAATGATGATAAACAGTGATGTTTTCGCATATTCAAAACACAGTATGCTTTCTCTTGCATTCCTTCCATTTTGATTAACAGTGTCTCTATTTTCATAACCAGAAAATTTTTAATTAAAGCATTCTTGCATTACATTAAACTTTTAATCGTTAATTAATTTTAAATAGTGATTTTAATAATCTTTAAAGTCTTCTTACATATTTACTATTATGGTAGTAAACCTAGCAAAGCATTCACAGGTTTTTGGCCACTCTGCATGCACTCAACTTATAAAGAATCTCTATTATGTTGAGAGTGTATGCTAGTTAGATGCTATTTCAGTTTAACACAGGTCACTGCAGATATAAACCTGTCATCTTGTTTTTAGAATGATATGGTGTAATTTATATTTTGTATATTTTCTTGGAAGTAAGATACAGTACATACATATATAGAATCTATTAACATGATTTTGTATGTTTTTTGTAAAAGATTAAGACTGTAATTTTCATAAAAGCAAGTGGTGAATGTTAAGTGTTTACTTAAAAAATATCTAGGAAAGCAAATTTTTCTGGTTTGGCTAGGTTTATTTGAGCATGGCAAAACACTTGAGGGCTATCTGCCTGAGAGGAATGATGCCTTTGTGGAGGACTTTCTGAGGGAAACTAGCTCATGTTATACAGGCAACATGGACATTTTTATTTTGATGAATCACAAAAACAGCCATTCAGCCAACCCGTTCACTGGGATTCAAACCTAGACCAAACTACTAGTGTTTAACAACTTCACTGCTCGGCTGCTAGTGGACACAAATTTTTCAAATATATTTTTATTTTCTATATGCTTTTTAATGCACCATGCTGTCCATTATATAAGCAATATACCTGAAGATTTTTCAGAGGCTACTGGTATGTGGTAACATTCATATTGGAAATTTAAATGACTGCATTTAATGTTAATTTATTCAAAATTTGCTTTATTTATTTAGGATTCATTATAAATTTCATAAAAGTTTCATATAAATTAATAGATTATTAAATAGATTCATTATAAATGTCATAAAAGTTTCATATTCAAAATTTGCTTTATTTATTTAGGATTCATTATAAATTTCATAAAAGTTTCATATACTTGTGAATTAGTGTATTATGACCACTAATGTGTTGTTGCTACTTCATATGCCATGAAAGCATCTTTCCTTTATTTGTATAAGGCCAGATGCTCTGCAAGCATTTTGAAGATGCACTGTATCTCTGGCTTGGAAGTTTCAGTATATCTTTTAATTCCTGTAAATAAAAAGCAAAATTATCTTAAAAAACATGTCATCCTCAAAAGATGCATTTATATTACTTTTTTTTTAATTTAGGGGGGAGGGTAATCAAAGGAAAATGTAGGGTAAGCTCAAAAGAAGTTAAACTTTGCATGGATACCAATTTTGATGCATCAGGAATAAAATGCTAAATGAAGATTTGCTGTGCTGATGTCTGTGTCTAAGAAATCATTTATAGCAGGCTGTTTTATTTTATAGTCAATTTGTTTCTAAATTTCTTTCAAAACTGCCATCAACCTAAAGGCAGGGAGATTTTTCTTCTATTTCTTTAGCTATGAACCTTGAACCTCTTAAACTCACCTATATGATCAAACTGGGTTTCATGTTCTGTGAACAGCTTTTATATTCTTCAATTAACCGAATTGTCAGTGTCGACAGCTTTTATATTCTTCAATTAACCGAATTGTCAGTGTCACTTTGTCATATATGACATAAATATTTTTGCATGGATTACATTCTAGTCTTTTTCCATCCCCCCCAAAAAAATATATATTTTTTTTTAAATTCATGTAAAACTCTATGTTTTTTAGTGCTTTTTTAAAACCCTTACAGAGTTTTGCTTAATATCTAGTCTTCCTCTCCAATTGTTTTAAAAATGTCCAAAATAGTGAAATCTGACCAGTCATAGAAATGTGGCAAAATGGGTATGAAGTGCAAACTATGTGCTTGGATAGTATGGATTTTGCTTGTTAAAATAATTATTTTGCCTACTTTAATTCATTTAATAAACTCAATATTTATTGAATAGTTACAAAGAGTTAAATGCAATATAGAATAGTTATCTATATTGCATTTAACTCTTTGTGTAGACAGAATTTCATGTAATTAAGCATTGTAATGTGAGTATGAAAGATTGTATTTCCTTTGTTATATAACTCATTTTTCACTATAATATGGAATTATTTTATGCTTAAATACAGTCACTTCTTTTAAATATATTATACAAGACCTGATATTTAAAAAAATATTTTTGCTTTTTTAAAGTTACATTTAAAAATATCCTAAAATTTAAGCTTTGTGTTAATTAAGTTGATGTATTTTTATAAAGTTAATTTCATTATACACCATCTCCTCAAACATCCTTACCCAGCCCTTTATGTTCACAGACATGTACTTCCAGTCACAGAAATATTTGAAATAATGCAAAGATTCATGGTTTCTTATTTTTAATTAACACATTTTTTTTAAAAAATATGAAATCTGACTTTTTATCTGTTCCCTATACTTAAATATAGGAAAATTTTGTATTGATTACAAAAAAAAAAAAAAAAAAAAAAAAAAAAATCTGAAATTTTTCAGATTTTAAATTACGTCCAAAGGGGCGTTTTTTTAACGTTTTGAGTGTTACCTTTATTTATTAAATATCATGTTCTTTGCACTTAAACCATAAAATTCAGTTCAAGAGCAATATCGCAAAATAATGTTAAATTAAGCATATCTTTAGAATTTCCGATATACATAGTCTCGCGAGCTGGAGATAAAAGTATTTTTTTTCTATATAACGTTGCCATTTCTCGCTTTTAAAGTATTGAGTTTGTAAATCAAAAATTCGTTAAAGTTTTACAAAATATAAAATCTATAATAAAACATATTCCAAATTTGGGATTTCAGATGCCCATATTCGCAGGTAGGATTTTCGTCATTCAAAATTCGATGGCTCTATGTACCATTGTTTTATCACAATCACAATGCGAGAAATAGACAATCATTTATGCAGATTTTTCATTATTTAATTTCTTCAAATATAATGCAGGACTCTAACATTTTGTGGCAAAAGTTTGAAAAGTGAACCGACGTTTATGAGTCCGACGCAAAATGCCAAAACGAAAGCAATAGTCCTTCGGGACTGAAATCCCTTTGGACTAAAAAAAAAAAAAAAAAAAAAGTTAAAAAACACAAGAAGTTTAACTCACACAAAGAATATTGGCAGAAATATTTAGTATTAAAGTCACAGATCATATTTAGAGGCCATACACAAATTGAAGAGCAAGATATTTGCACATGTAAACTAAAAATAAAATACTAATTTAGAAAAAGGTTTCAGGTGTTGAGAGATTAAGTGACTAGCATTTCTGTGAAGATTATTGAGAAATTTAATGATTAATATAAATTTGTTCCATAATGGAGATAATCCTTATTCACATATCTTACAGAAATTGTGTTCTAGAAAACACTGGCAGGCTTCTGTGTTGGTACACAGCCAACTTGTAATATTATTTGCATTAATTAAAAATGGAAAATATTTGTAGCTTAAAATTTTTTTATGTAATAAAACTTCATGAGAATATTAATAACATATTTTTAAACTTTGAAAACTAAATTACTTCTGTGAAATTTTTTTTAGCATATCAAATGTAATCAAATTGTAAATTAAAGACCTTAATAAATCCCCAGTTTATTTACTATTTGATCCCTCAATGCAAATTGAATACGATGTCAAAAATTACTTATCTCAGTCAGTTTTTCTCATACAAGAGTCAAATTTTCCATCTTTTATTTTTCTAACGAGTACAATATTTATTTTTCTAAATGTAAGTACACAGACTAGAGGAGTGTGTGAAAAGTTAGGTTTTATAATTTTTACAAAATTTATAGCTTTAAACTTAAAAATGCTAAAACATAAATCCTTGCATCATTTGAAACAATTTTATAGCTAGGAGCGTATGTCTGTGAGCAGTCATTGCAAAAATAAAGGCACGATATGGACTTTTGCAGGCCTAGTGTCTATTCATTGTGTTGTGCATGATATATATTCATGATATATATATATATATATATATATATATGCAAGAGAGATGTAATCTGTTTGAAATTCATCAACAATAAAGAAAAATTATATATCTTTAATTCATTAGAATCATTATGTAGATTTTCACAAATAATAATTACCTAAATCATTAAGGAAAATATTCATGTTTACTTGAGAAGTAAAAATCACATGATAAGTATGCATCTAAATTATTTTTATTTTGTCTTAATTGATGCATCAAATTAATTCTAATAATTTAATAATATGATGTGCATTTTTCTCTTACAGTTATTAGATTTGTTTACTGAGTGGGACTGGTCAAATTATTTTCGAGAATATGGCCAAGAAACAAGTAAATATTTGAGGGTAAATCCACATACAGCTATAATTTTATTAGAAAAGTGAGTACATTTATTTTACTTGATCCACTTACATCATTTCAGGCAACAAATGTTTTTTAGGAATGTTGTACTGAATCACAATGAATGTAGATATTTTCTGTAAGAATATATAAACTTATCATCTTTATTGCAACAATGTATATTCAGCTTACGCTTTTTTTCGTTAACTTTCTTTTTAAAAACTATTTTTAAGAAATATCAATATTGTTATATCTAAAACTTTTGTCTTTTGTTTTAATACTTTTTAACTTTAAACTTTGGACTTTGATTCAAGGTGCCGGACAAAATACTTAAAAAAAAAAAAAAAAAAAATAAATAAATAAATAAATAAATAAAAACAAAAATCAAATAATTCATAATTCAAAATCTATTTCATAATATTCTTATGTCATTTCAGCGTTCTTATAGCATATTCGTATAGTAAATCTATCAATCAATCAAATCAATCAATCGTATATCATTCTCTATCAAAACATTCGTATAGTGGTAGTACAATTTAACTTTATAGGTTTGCATTGTGAGTAACCTATGTAAAAGGAAGTAACAATAACTCCAATTTCAATTAAACTCCACGTTTCTTAAAAGCCTTCCGGCTCAAACAAATGGAGGGACATGACAGACCACAGTAAATTATAAATACACAAATGCAATTAAATTTTAAACACACATTTATTAAATTCTTGACTATTTTATATAATTAAATAATGGATAACTGATCAGTAATACATATTTTTCTAAGCCAAAATAACACATAATACTACACCAAATTACAGCTTACATTAATTAAGATTAACATTGTTTTTTTTTTCAAATTAATTAGGTGTAACAAAACCTAATCCTCCAAATAACAGGTTCTTATTAATTAGAAAGTAACGTTTTCCTAGCTCACAAAATTCAGTAGGTGAAAACAAATTTTAATCCTCCGTTAAACTGCACATTAACTCAATCAACTTCCCGTTTTCGAAGTTCCACTGAAGATAAGAGAAGGAGGTCGAAACTGGAGACAAAAGACCAAAGCAGACCTCAGGCGATGATGACTTTCCATATTTCCATCTTTTCGAAAGCAAAATAGATACTCCAGCACGAACGAGCAGTTCAGACTATTCCACAAATGGGAAAAGAAACCTCAGCGACGAAATTGAAAATAATAGGCCGCAAGAATTGCCGCTGTCAACATGACGAGCAACCCGCACTGTCTCGGACCCTCCGTACCCAGAAATCTCGGAGATAAAAACTTAACTATACACCGCGGTCGACCACCGAAGAACCGCCGCGTTTTTCCTCCGCTCCATCTCAGCATCTCACTGACCGCGGCCGGCCCCGTAGGGGCCGTCGTCAAAGTAGCAAACCCGCTAGGGCTCAAAAAAAAAAAAAAAAAAAAAAAAAAAAAAAAAAACTGCTAATCGACTTCTCTAAAAAAAAATCTCTTTTTCAGTCCAAAAGCTCTCCTTTTTTCGTGCAACAGCTTAAGGAACCTCGGTTTACACTCTCCAAGAAACTGCTCAAAATTACTATTGGTTCAAACAACACTAAAATTAAAAATTTAGCCAATCTTAAGGAAACTTGGAATCCCTTTCGCCAACTAGAAGAAAGGTAATAAATCGCCACTGAAATTCTCAGAAATTCAGAACTTTCTACAAGAAGACAGACCCTTTCTTTCCCACGCAACAGAAGAATGTTTCCAACCTATAACTCTGTCAAAAAATTGCCGCCCCTTAGAACTATTCGCCTCTGAACGAGAAAAACACGTGTTTTCAACCCCCGCGAAAAAAAGGGGAAAATGCAGCTGGACAGTGACCTCTAACCTCCAAAGAAGCCTACTCGTGAGAAACGGAAATACAACCGCGCCCTTTTAACTGTAACACATATTCTGCCAAACTTAAAGGAGCTTTGCCGTAAAGTTTAACAATATTAAATATTATACATTAATTTAAAATAAGCTCAATACAAATTCATTAAACACAGTAAACTAATATAATAACTAAGAATACAATATGCACAGTAAAATAACACGCAATAATTATACACAACAAAAATACATAAGAATTTTCCATAACAATATTGCTTAGCAGTAATAAACTAAAATTATGCAATATTTTGTGTTTCATTATATGAGTTGCAAGAATTATTTTTAATGAACGAAGCAATAAAAAATGAACTTTATAAAAATAATAAAATAAGTGTACAGTTTAAATAAACAAATTATACCATAGCTGGGATACTTTATGGTTTGGAAACTTAATAACACTAATAGTGCAATTATTTGTACATACAATACTGACACAACAACCTTGGTAAATTTGAGGATTTTTTTAATATGAAAGAATGACATAATTTCATTATTCAGTTCAATTGCAACAGTTTACTTATTATATACTTTAACATTATTTAATATATATTTTACATTCTAATTAGATATTTATTCCAAAAAATTAATCAATAAATCTACTTACAAGGTAGTTTTTTATTTCTTTTGTTTTGGAAGATTTCATGGTTTAATAATGAATTTAATACAGTTCTTCCCTTTAGCAAATTTGCAGCAAAATAGTAAATTTCTAAATAAATTTTACCACCATGTCATCCACTGTTGGCAACTAGCGTATATTTTTAAATTGAGTTTTGGAGGAAAAATATTATGATTTATCTATAAAAACCATTAAAACTTGGGATATAACAAAAAAAGAATGTGCACACAAATGGTCACATTTCTTGACTGAAGAATCATTATAAGCATGGTTGCCAGAGTTTGGTACGTTATGAAATTCGGTGACTTCTACTAAGGTGGTTACTAATACACAAGTACCTGAATATTTATAACAATAACAAGTTATTTACGTTATACAATACTTTGAGCAATATTTATGAATATTTTATTATTGATATTTTCATGAATTATTGAGAATTACATTGTTTATAAATTTTTCATTTGGCATAAGATAAAAAAATGTATTGCAATTTTATAAATGCATTAAAGATTTTATAGCCAAAGAATGGCAACAGCTTTTAACAACAGCCTGTCACAAGGCTGCATGAATGATTAATGTTTTCATATTGTACTGTATTGTAATGCAAAGCACAGAAAGACAAGCTTGTTGATGCTTCTGATGTAATTATAGCAATAAATATCCCTTTTCAATTCAAAATATTTTCTTCCTAGGTTTATGCACAATTTTCAAATTTTTTAAGCTTTTCTGAAATGTCTAATGAGACTCTTTTTCTGCAAAATGATGCTCAGGCTCCATAGTAGACTCTTATCTGTATGCAGTAAATATTTCAAGAGGCATTTCAGTTTTAGAATTATGATTTCTGAAACTGCTACTTTGTTCTCCCATTTAGGGCCACTCATAAAACTGAATCTTGAAATTTTTTCATTTTATTAACACACATAAAGTTTCATTTCAGCAAAGAAATCTATGTTTCTACTATTCCATATTTATGAGTACAGTAAGTAAAATATTATTTTGTTATGTTTGCTCTTCACTGTTTGTTCTTATTCTATTGCTGTTAGCAAAAGGTTTTCTAGATTCTCTGTAGTTGCTATTATAAATTCATAGTCCACTGTTTGAAGATCTTCTTCTAAGATATAAATATAAAACCCAGGGAAAGAAGTGATAGAAATTCATAATTGCAGTGGAAAGAAATATGTATACTTAATGCTGATGTAGAATGTTATTTGAAAATGTTTAAAAATTCAAAATGTAATTATTTAATTTAGTCTTCACAAAATGTAATTTTAGTGATTTTAAATATCAAGCTATTTATTGCTTAGTTGTCTCAACATCTAAATATTTATAAGTACTTACAAATTAGTGCTATCACCTCCGTAGAAGCTGCCAAATTTTCAGAATGTGCAAAACTGTGACAATAATAGTCTTTATTTCTGAGAAACAGTATTGCCATTTTCACCAGCTACCCCCTTTTTTTGCTGCTTTTGTATTTTAATGACTTTTACAGAAAAATCATAATAATATTTGTCTTAAATTTAAATTTAAAATATGTATGTATGATTTGCTTACAGCTGAAAAAACTTCAGTAAAATTTCTGCAGAAATATAGCATTTTACTGCATAAAATCACAAAAAGAAACAATTGCTCAAAGTGAAAAGAATTTTTCCTTAAAGTGATTGCTACAAAATTTCCACCAAAATAAATGAAATAAACAACAAAAAAAAAAAAAAAAAAAAAAAAAAAAAAAAAAAAAAAAAAAAAAAAAAAAAAAAAAAAAAAAAAAAAAAAAAAAAAAAAAAAAAAAAAAAAAAAAAAAAAAAAAAAAAGTATTTCTAAGTACGACTGATTTTTTCTTTGCTTATGCCGTAATTCGAGATATATAGGTAGTAATACCGGTTTTTAATGAAAAGTTTCTTGCCACCACAAGTTCACATTGGTGTGTTTAATCATATTTTGTCAAACGATTTTTGGCATTTGAAAAGAATTTTCTTTTTCATTTGGCTTTAGTTATTGTGTGTTAGAATACTGTCTTGTGAAATTTAAAAAAAAAAAAAAAAAAAAATATATATATATATATATATATATATAATTATCATTAAGAACAAGGTGTCTGAAATGGAACTATCATGATACCAGATTAGAAAAATCATTTACTTCCAGTTTTATTGCAAAAAGGCAGCTACAGAATGTTACCAAATCATGCGTATAGCTTTAGGTACTAATGTTGTATCATATGACATTGTGAAGGTTTGGTACTGGAAGTTCAAAAACAAGAACTATGACATTCAAGAAGCAGGATGCTCTGGCCGGCCTACTGATGATGGTAAAGCCTGCATGTGAAAACCCGTGGAAGAAGATCACTATGTAACCACTTGAGAGCTCGCTAAGTAGTTAGATGTAAGTGTCATTTCCGTTAGTTGCACTATGCATTGGATAAACTTGGCGGACAAGTTCAGTCACTGGGTGCCACATGAGCTGACTCAAGCAAAGAAGGACAGATGTGTTCGGGCCTGCACTAACCTGCTCGAATATCAACGCAAGGACAAAATTCGG